AGTAACACGTCTCCGCTGGATTCAAAGAATATTGTAGATCCGACTCAGCTTACAGGCTACGATACAGACTAGAAGGTCCACACCAATTGCCTTCTTTCACTGGTCTTGTCTTTGTGCGAAATTGTAATATTTTGCTCCTTGAACGGACAACGGTAGCGTAACTGGCTCGTTCTCAGGCCACTTGAGGCATGACTATGGCTCTTCTTTGTAATCAACCGCGCTTCCCAACCTAATTAAATATGCATATTTTGTTAAAGCTATTTATAACGGTTTGCTTCCATCAGTGAACCTAAAAGTGAACTACAAAAAGTGTTGCTTAACGAAAAAATCACGTGGAACGTGATTTCAAATAACAAGTGATATTGCTTCGTCACAAAACACGTTTTCCTAAAAGGGGAAGGGTTGCAAACCTTAATCTTAGGAATTTTTACTACCAAAATGTTACATAAACAGTGTAAATAGTAAGGCTGCCTTGTATCATTGGAAATGTTATTTATCCTATTAGTTATTGAACTGATCAATAAGTCACGTGACCCTTCTCCCTTTATTTACAGATTCCTATATAACGCAAACACACATACAAGGCGAATATTTAAGAACCTTTTAACAGCCTCTGAAATTTACCTATAAGAACTTGTTGTTCTTTCATTATCCTTTCCCGTTTTAGAGTAAATATTTTGACCGTTAATTCTCAATCGTCAGTCACTTGACGAAACTTTGAGCTTCTAAAATGTCTCATATTGCTAAGACCATTAAGCTAAATTTGTAGTTTAATTTTCGGGATCATTGATAGAGGCAAACCGTTCTAAATAGCATTTTATCAAAATATTCATATTTAATTAGATAGTCATGGCTTAAGTTACCTAAGTTATAACACAGGAAGCCCAAGCTCAAAATATGAGCATCGGCATTGTTGTGTAACATTCCAAATACAAATATGAGATTTGTATGGGAAAAAAACCTATCGTTCTGTAACCTACGAAAGAGTAAATATTTTGACCGTTAATTCTCAATCATCAGTCACTTGACGAAACTTTGAGCTTCTAAAATGTCTCATATTGCTAAGACCATTAAGCTAAATTTGTAGTTTAATTTTCGGGATCATTGATAGAGGCAAACCGTTCTAAATAGCATTTTATCAAAATATTCATATTTAATTAGATAGTCATGGCTTAAGTTACCTAAGTTATAACACAGGAAGCCCAAGCTCAAAATATGAGCATCGGCATTGTTGTGTAACATTCCAAATACAAATATGAGATTTGTATGGGAAAAAAACCTATCGTTCTGTAACCTACGAAAATGAAAAGGATTTCAATAAAAAACAGCTAGGTTACCTTACTTAAAATGTGTGTAAAAATGTTTATGGCCGGTTTATGGGTTGGGCTGTGCTAAAGAGATTGATCTCAGTCTCAAAAGGCAGGCAGTAAATGCAGTGATCTTTGCAGCTGCATTAATGGTGGGGATGAGCTTTGTGATGACATTGCTGACAGGGATTACGAAAACTCTAACGATGATGATGATGTTGATGACGATGACTTCGAGGAGGAGGGTGATAACTAGAACATCTTGTCATGAATGTCTGGCCCTGTTAGTAAGGAAATCGCATTTCCATCGTTTTGTGTAGGTCATAGGCCATTTGCATGACGACGTCATTTTACTACTATGACCAGGATCCTTCAGGGTTTTGCTTTCTTGTGCAAATTAGGGCTTTTGTTATTGAAACCTCACTGGGGCTAGCAAATTTACATATGAAAGGAAAAACGAAAAGAATTCTGGTCGTAGTAGTAAAATGACGCCATCGTGCAAATGGCCTATTGGAACGTACCTTAAAAAAGCTTAAAGAAATTTTTTTGATGCAGCTTCGTTTCCAGGATTCTGTAATAGCTTGGCCGGTTCTACATAACCTGAAAGGCGCTTCAATAGCTGTTTGTTGTTGTTGTTGTTTTTTTTTTTGTATTGATTACGTGCTATTAGTGGTTGCTAAACGGAGTTTTAAGCTCAAGTCTCGTTTCCATGCTATCGCAGTCACGTGACCAGTTTAACCTCTTAACAGATACGTTGTCAAGTCAGATACACTATTATGTGTTATAAGAGCAATTCTGTTAGCAATCTGTTGTCATTGAAGATGGTTTTCAGGTACTTTAAGGTCCAGCCTCGTTTCCATGCTAGAACACAAACGTCACATTTTAAAAGCACCCTTGTGGCCATCGGTGAAAGTTACAAAATTGCCGACAACATTTTTTATGTTCCTTAGAGTCCCCATAACACATCTAGATAGGCGGCTTCCTTTTCTCACAAAATGCCCACGGGATTACAGATGCTCCCAGACTATATACCAGAGTGCAAAGATTTAGAGATCACATAGAGAAACTGAAATCAAATCGGCACATTCACGTATTATTATGTACATCTTTGGATCTACATAATTTGTTGAGATGTGAGAAAACAATACTACTGCTTGTAGAAGAAAAACTGAACTTGTCGTGATTTACATTTATCTTATTCATATAACTTAAATCATTATTAGATTAGAACAAAGTACAAAATTAATCGAGGTTTTTATATAAGAGTCTACTCCTCCGCCTTGTCTGTTTCTATCACGACGAATAAATTCATAGCCTGGTATATGGACCTCACAGCTTTTGATAGTGTCATCAAGTTTAGTTTCATTAATTGAGATAATATCGATAGAATAATCAAAAAGGAGAATTCTCAATTCATCAATGTGTTTATTTAGACTGTTGATGTTCAATTGGGCTTTTCTAAAACCTCGTTTAGAAAAAATAAGTATGTGTAATCAAATGGTGACGAGTGAAATTAGGGAATAATTTCACGCGCTTTTTGCCCAAATCCTAATAATTTCCCGTGCCTTTAGACGAGGGAAAATTATTAGGATTTGGACAAAACGCAAGTGAAATTATTCCCTAATTTCACGAGTATACCATTTGATTACCTATTAATATCATGGGTGACGAATTACGTTAGCAATCTTGGATTTTTGACATATTTACTCTGGATCGTATCGATCGAGAACTCCACTCTTTTTCTCAAATGTTTAGACCTTAAATTTGGCTTATAAAGTTCAGAATTTTTCAGACTTTTTCGGAAAAATACCTGTTAGAATCCTTCTTGATGTTCTCTTCTGTGTTCCGGTTTTCTAAAGCGTCTTTTTGTGCCCTGACATCTTCATTCACGGCATTTTTAAAACTTCGTCGCTATTTCGACACTGAGACGTACGGAAGGGTTGCCATGGCAATTTTGTAATTTCACATGTGAAATTACAAATTAACGCTGGAATTTCGCGCCAAAATTAAGGAGTAATTCGTCACCTATGATATTAAATCAGAAATACTGTTATGTTGATTGGAAATAGGTGATCTAAAATACCTTTGAGAGGTTAACGTGGGCGTGTCCAGTTGCGAGCTGGAATAGGACAGTTTCATAGCTCCATTAGAAGCTTTCCCAGTCGTTGAATAGCTGGGGACCGAAAACCCTTACCAGACTGATCAGGGTTTGAGGGCGTTAAAAATCGTTCAATAGGACAAAACTGTTCTACCCAACTATTTTAGCCCTACTAGTTACAGGTACAGCAAGGGGCGGATCCAGTGGGGTTGGATTGGGTGGCTAGTCACCTCCTTTTAGGACAGCCCACCAAAAAAGAATTAATACGTGGAAAGACATACGGAAATACGTAGGTCTCAAAGAAATCGAGAAAACTACGTACCTAGCAGAGTCAGCTGCACAGTACTGGAAGGAAACGGTGACAATACCTTTCCTTGACGTAATCTGCTCAGGAAAAGAGGGCACATCATGACCTAGCTCTGTGCTCTTATTCTTCAAGTAATGAAGACGTTTCAAGAAGCCACAATAGAACTCAAACGCGTATCTACACCGGTTTCCAACTTTTCACGAAAATGGGTCAGATTTTTCATAAATAAATAAATATATTTTAAATGGAAAAAAATCCAAGTTGTACTCTTGCAAATATCCTATCTGAATGACTCAGAAACCCAAGAAAGGGAACTTTAGGGAGTTAAAATCAAAAAAAATGTACCGGGGAATGATGCCCCTAGACCCCCCTATAAGCTTGCGCCGTCGGCGCTCGTTTAGGAAATCGGTCAGTATTCATCCTAGATCCGTGCTTGGAACTTGCTCAAGTACTGCATGAGAAGTGGGGCCATCTGAGGCCTTGCCGTCATCTTTCGAAAGTCAGGAACTGTGTGGGCTGGAAGCGACAGGAAGCGTGTCGGATTATGAATCCATCTCGGTCTCCTCACAGATAGACCACACGCAAACAACATCTCCTTCCCAAAGGAGAGGGAACTTCTAAAAATTCTCACCGTTTTGTCTATGGAAAGCACGGAGATGGAGAAATCATTTTCCTGCATTTGGAGAATCCATAATTGGCTTCGCAACGCAATGACCATCGAACGACTCTCAGATTTGGTCGTCATCGCCGTGCATGCAAAAGCAGTTACCGTCGGTAGAAGTGTGGTTTGTGAGAAATTTGTGGCGCTACACCCTAGACGATTGACAGCGTCTTCACTTCTGGCCGACTAGATTAGTAAGGAATTTCTATTAGCTTCTATTTCTTCTCAGTTTTTGTGGCGTTTCAGGAGTTTGCCGTGATACAGTCTCCAATTTGTCCTTCCTAAATCGCCATGTTTTGGGACAGACGTAGGACAACTTAAAATAAATTAACGTATGGTTTGGTGGCTGATTGGTATCAGCCATCTCCCATTAAAAATCCTGGATCCGCCCCTGAGAGCAGTTTTCGAATTGTCTCTTTTTAGCGTTGAAATGGACCAATCTAATTATCATTATATATAAAATCATATACTAAAGAATGTGGGGTTGAAACTGGCCGAAGACAGAACACATTGCCAGCCGGTATCAACAGTGTTGACCGTTAGCAATTCTCAGTTTCAGTAAATCTTGCGAGGTCGCCAAGCTAAAGGAGTCGTGTAATGTAAAATAATAAACCCATATGTCTCGGTTTAATCAGGACCTGTCTGCTTTTCTCCCAGTTCAATCAGAAGGTGAGGTGTATGCTTTGCTGACTCTAATGCTCCCTCCAAATCACTAAGGCAAACTTGAACAAATGAAAAGGCATCATAACTATCAGCGGTGCTTGCGTGTTCTTCTCCGAACAGTTTAAGACGGATCTCAAGTGCGTGCTGTAGAGAATCTAGTGCTGCCTTGAAGTCTCCAAGTGAATGGTGAATGAGGCCAAGCCCATGATAACTATCAGCAGTGCTTGCGTGTTCATCTCCGAACAGTTTAAGACGGATCTCAAGTGCGTGCTGTAGAGAATCTAGTGCTGCCTTGAAGTCTCCGAGTGAATGGTGAGTGACGCCAAGCCCATGATAACTATCAGCGGTGCTTGCGTGTTCTTCTCCGAACAGTTTAAGACGGACCACAAGTGCGTGCTGTAGAGAATCTAGTGCTGCCTTGAAGTGTCCAAGTGAATGGTGAGTGACGCCAAGCCCATCATAACTATCACCGGTGCTTGCGTGTTCTTCTCCGAACAGTTTAAGACGGATCTCAAGTGCGTGTTTCTTAGAATCTAGTGCTGCTTTGAAGTCTCCAAGTGAATGGTGAGTGACGCCAAGCTCATCATAACTATCAGCGGTGCTTGCGTGTTCTTCTCCAAACAGTTTAAGACGGATCTGAAGTGCGTGCTGCTCAGAATCTAGTGCTGCTTTATAGTTTCCAAGTGAACGATGAATGACGCCAAGCCCATGATAACTATCAGCGGTGCTTGCGTGTTCTTCTCCGAACAGTTTAAGACAGATCTCAAGTGCGTGCTGCTCAGAATCTAGTGCTGCTTTGAAGTGTCCAAGTGAATGGTGCGTGACGCCAAGCCCATGATAACTATCAGCGGTGCTTGCGTGTTCTTCTCCGAACAGTTTAAGACGGATCTCAAGTGCGTGTTTTTTAGAATCTAGTGCTGCTTTGAAGTCTCCAAGTGAACGGTGAGTGACGCCAAGATCATCATAAATGTCAGCGGTGCTTGCGTGTTCTTCTCCGAACAGTTTAAGACGGATCTCAAGTGCGTGCTGTAGAGAATTTAGTGCTGCTTTGAAGTCTCCAAGTGAATGGTGAGTGACGCCAAGCCCATGATAACTATTAGCGGTTCTTGCGTGTTCTTCTCCGAACAGTTTAAGACAGATCTCAAGTGCGTGCTGTAGAGAATCTAGTGCTGCTTTGAAGTCTCCAAGTGAATGGTGAGTGACGCCAAACCCATGATAACTATCAGCGGTGCTTGCGTGTTCTTCTCCCTCAAGAGGGATTGACAAGCCCAGTGCTTGCTGTTGGGCTTTAAAGGCTTCAGAATATCTATTTTTCCCGGAGAGAAAGTTTCCAAGATCCATGTAACACGCTGCAAGAGCTTCACTGTGCAAGTAGTAAGCGGAAGAATTTTCGTTGCATTGACAGAGAGCTGTTTGATGGTAACTGATTCTTGTTTCAAGGAGAATTTTAGTGTCTCCACTTGACTTAAATAAGGTTATAACATTTCGATGAAAACGAAAGAGACCGCTTGAAACGTGCTGCTTCATTTCGATCTCTTTCAGCATTTTATGAGAAATATTTCGAAGATGTTGCTTAGTATCAATATCCATGAAGTTCTTCGTTGCCTTGCTTACAAGGTCAAGTACTTGCCATCTTAGAGGATGGTTAGAAAGAATGCTAGGGTCTGTCAGGTTTTCTTCTACTTCAGTTTTTCTCTCTTTGCTTTTCCCTGACGGTATCAAAAGTAGATCCATGTCTCCTACTGCCTTGCATTCCTTTTTTGCACTGAACAGTAACTGATTCAAGTCAAGCATATGGTTTTGAATTTGGGAAAACTGACTAAGAATTTGGAGAGTAACAAGCCTAAGGACTGCCAAATCTGGGCTCCCATGCATCAACTGAAGAGCCTCTCGCAAATACTGAACTCCTTCTTCAGTTTTAGAGCTAGCAAGGTAGTTGATGCCTAAATAACACAGACGTTTTCCTTGTGGTTCTGACTTGGAAACTAATGGCAGGGCCGAGGATTCCGCCGTTTCCTTCGCTCTACAAAGCAACTGCGTCGTACTTCCCTTTGGTCCCCAACATGCTTCTCCAAACGCCTTTGAAACCAGTAGTTGACTGTAAGACTCGTTTACCTCCAGCCTCTTTGCAGCCTCAATTGCTGAATCGTAAATTATGTTAAAGGTTGATCCCTCTAAGAAATAAAGGTTATCAAGAAATAACTCTCCCTTTGCTAACACCTCAAAAACTGCGCGTGCTGTAATGGGATCAGAAAGAGACTCCAGCAGGCTTTGAACAATGCTTTGCTCATCTTTATAGAATGCCAGAAAGGCCTCCATTGAATGACCAGTGAGATATTGCCCATTAAGCCTCTCAAACAGTGACACGTAAAACGAATGCAAATGGTGCTTTGATTTTAGAAACGTATCTTTCATTTCATTTAGTCCCTTTTCTCTTGCAAATGTTTGAATCAGCTTATGCATCGTGAAGAACTGTTCTTGCAAACCTAAATCAAGAAGTGACTTTCTCCGAAAGTTTTGCAACATCTTGGTAGTCTGAAAAGTGTTTTTACCCAAAACGGCAGCGGCAACCTCACTACCGAAATTATCAGGGAGAATACTCAACGACACTAGTGCTTCTTGTTCATGTCCATTCAGTCTTTGGAAAGATGAGGAAAAAAGAAATTTCAATCTGAGATTGGGAGGATAATCTGGGTTGTCTAACATCTCGATAATACTCGCTGAAGCGGAGTGCTGAAGGAATTCATCAAGGAATTGGCTCGGTTGACCCCTATATTCAGAAACTGAGGAGCACAATAATTTAATTGCTAAGGGTACAAAGCCACAGATTTGCGTGATTCGCCGATAGTCTAGAGAATTGGCGTTTGAAAGTAATTCCTGAACTAAGGTCTGAGCATGGGCTTCTTCTAATGTTCTTATCCTTATACTCTTGTAACCTTGAAATTGTACCTTCATAAACTCTAAAGACTCCCTCGTTGTAACTAGCATTGTCAACCTTTCATTGCACCTGAGAATTTTTTCAATGAGTTGTAAAACACCTTCCTTCACTTCTAGGTCACCACTTTCCAACAAATCGTCAGCATTATCAAGAATGAAAAGAGATCATTCCGAAATTTCGCTTAAGAGCTTACAAAGCTGATTATCAGGGGAAAGACGCGAAAACAAGAGCTGATCATTTACGACAGGTTGCCTGAAACAGCCAAGAATCTCTGAGGACAGAGCTGCTTTTGACCTCAGACCACGTAAGGACAACCAACAAACCGGCATTCCGTTGTGTTGGAGATCGTGTCCCACCGCAATTGCAACAGATGTTTTTCCAAATCCAGGTGAACCACAGATCGACACGAGCTGGGTAGATTCAGACGCCAAGTGACCCATAATCTCCTCACATTCGCTTTGACGCCCGGTAAAATTAGGAACCATTTTAGGGAGGGAAGTTGCCAAGGGCGACGGTCTCACACCTTTAGACGTAAATAATAAAGAAAATAGTCAAATTTGATTTGCACTTTTTGGTAACAGCGGCGAACGCAAAGAAACGATGAAACTTTAACTATTACTTTGACGGTCTTTAAAACTACAAAAGTGAAAAACAAATATAAAGACCAACTATAATTATAAAAGGATGGAAATTTAGTTTAATTTGGAAGTAACTTAAATATGGGACAGTCCAAACGAAAATCAAGTGCTTATGAAGCGATTTATTCAGTAACCGCTTTATTTGAATTCAGGCAAAGGTACATTTACATTTTACTTCAACGCGAACTGACTAACCCTAGTCAATATTAGGATGATGATAATATGTACCCAGCCTGAATATGAGGCGTTTCTGGCGGAAAGGAAAAGAGAAAAGCGAAAAGGAGATAGAGCAAAGGGATAGAAACTTCTTTCCTCTTTCTCCCCTCCCCCATCTAAGATCTCCTCTCCCCGAAAACCCTAAGAAAGACCTGATAGGCAGGCTAATGTGTACCCAGCTCTGGCATGCATTAATAAAAACAAACCTGTGTGCTGACTACTTTTACCCGTGGATACGCAAAGATTTACTAAGTGAATATTTAAAGACTTCAGCATTATCTCATTTCTTCCTTGCTTCTCCATTTTAAGCTGTTTTTTATGGAGAAAAAATCCCCCTCAGAATTTCCTTGGGTTTTCAAGATATTGTTACGTCAGTATCAATAGCACAATATAAAATTATATATAATATGATATTATATATTGTGTATACTAAACGAACCTACCTTTGATAAAATTATCATCGTTTCCTTGATAATGAGGCCATCTTTTGAAGACAACATCATCATTTAAAATCTTGGCAACTAGAGAAGCGGCATTAACACTTGCAAATTCGCTCCATTTTTCATTTGTGCTCTCTCTGCCATCTGCATAACTAGCAATTCCCTTTACAACGAGCCATTCAACTTGGAGGTCAAATGCAGCTGTGTAAAGTCCTGCAACAGAAACAGCGGCACCACTCATAAATGGGGCCATTGAGTATAGCTGAGAAATGAAATAAGTGGCAGGATATCAGATTGAAAGGTGCGTTCTCAAAACTTGTAAATTTTTAAAAACCTAGAAGGTTGAACAGATTATCGAAAAGGTGAGCCTCTGTCTAGGTGTTTTCGACAAAATCGAAGTCGCGACGATCGCCTTGGATGAAGCGACAATCTTAGAGGGCGACAATCGCATTGCCATTTCAATCAAGTTTGCTTGCGCGCTGGTTAAATCTCGTGCTCGTTTTTAAACCTGCCCCTAAGGGAATTAAAAAGGACGCGTTGCTAAGGGCGACTGATTTTTTTCTTTTTTTAGCTATAACACCCCAGCGCCCCCTTCCCCCCCCCCCCCCCCCGTCCGGGATTTCATTACCTTCGGCTTCCGTGTCAACGGCCACTGCCAGGGGAAAAGTTTCAGCCAACTGTTTGCACCGCGATTCTGTCCTGATTACTTCTGGAACGCTCAACAGCTCACCGCTGCTATGAATTTTGACTTCTCGATCTTCCAAGTTCTCTAAAGGAGCCTCCCAGCCAAGAGGTGAATCTTTAATGAGATCAAGAAATCGTTTGCTGGCAAACGTTCTTATATTATTGTGCAGCTCTTTATCGCTTGTCATTACCTTCAATCCATATGTTGTCAATTTGGCAGAAATTACAACATCACCCAATTTGGTTTCCTCAGGACGGAGGCTACTGCACGTTCCCACTAACATAACTCCTTTGGGCATAAGCGCTGAGACAGCGTTTTTTGTAGTTACTATGGAGCCTCCCGGACCACTAGAACCTTCATGACATCGCAATAAAGCAACTGCTACTTTCTCTTCTTGGCCTTCATTCTCGTCCTCGAAGTAAACAAAACCTAGACCATCGAACCAACATCTGAATGGATTGTTTAGGTGCATATAACAAGCTAAGAACTCACAGTCCTTTACAGTCAGTAACAAAATGTCGACAGGAAGGCGTGCATGATTCCGATCCTTTGTTGGTGATTGGATATCATTCATGCGGGGAAGTTTAACATTAAGCTGGGGCGGGTCTCTACTGGTATGGCAGTGTTCCTTCTTAGTTCTCCTATTTGCACCATCTGAGATATCTTCTTCTTGTGAGTTGCTACCAAAGTCCTTGGCGGCCGGGTTCGACATTTCGCTCAATTTAGACTTGAGAAGTCAAAATATACGGATCTGGCATATAAAAGGTACATACACTGTCACATGTTTGTCCGGGAAAGGTTTGATTTAAAATAGTTAATGAAATTAAATTAAAATACCCGACTTGCCAGCGGAAAGTGTAAGTACAGAACTTTATATAGAGTGTTTTTACATGACGTAACGGCCGCCATATTGGTGTCCCAAAACAATGAAACGGCGGCCATGTTGGTGTCCCAAACTAATCCTGTGGGAGTTGGACTCTTTTCTTACGCAAAAACTTTCTTTTGGTACAATAAATTTGCATAGATGATGGCCACGTGAGTGAAAACGCTCTATAGGTAGATGTTAGAGATGTCACATGTCTCTGGGTGGATGTTGTGCAGGTTCGGTTTAACTTTTGGTTCAAATTTTACTTTCCTTAGTTTGAAAGTCATTATTACACAAAAAAAGGAGAATAAGACCCCGTCCACACTAGCCTCCCACGCAGGCGTTCTTTTGGCTCGTCACGCAATCCTCCTGTGGCTGGCGACGACAAAACAAGCAAACGAGGAACGAAACTTCGTGGGGTGTGTCGCAGAAGGTTAAGCTAGGGACTATTTTACGGGTCGCAAAACAAGAAAACCACGAAAAACCAAAGGTGACGGTTAACGGTGATTTAATTCCAAAGACCAAAATTTATAGACCAAAGATTGATCGTAAACTGAAATAACAGTACAAAAAATCTCTATCAGTTTGGCGAAAAGGCGATACTAAGACAAACAACGCGTAATTAACAAACTAAAGTTTCAAAACGGTAATAAAGAAATTTTATTGCGATTAGGTCGATAACAAGACGGTAAACCTACTTAAAAAAACTAGAAGATCATTAACTGTGGCCAAACTTGGCGCTTACGGTTTTAATGACAAATCATTGCAATTAATGCGATCATATTTTAAAGACCGGCTCAACAGGGTGAAAGTTGGCAAAGCTACTAGTGACTGGAGTGTGATGAAACGTGGATGCCCTCAAGGATCCTCCTTTGGTCCAACACTGTGGAACTTACCAAAATGATCTATCGTATCACATAAATGAGATTGCAAATTTAATATGTATGCTGATGACCATCAGATGTATATAGTTGGCAGCGATATGTCCATTTTTTGCCAACATGTTAGCGAATTATGCAAAAAAGCCAGTCAAATGGTTGGCGTTCTTGCCAGGTTAAGAAACTTAATTACTACGGAGACTAAACTATTACATAATAAAACTGCTATCATGCCATATCTCACCTATTGTCATCTCACATGCCATTTCTGTAAGGCGTCGGATACAAGAACGGTTGAAAGAATTCAAGAGCGGGCACTAAGGATAGTTTATAACTCACATTCAGAAACATATATGAACTTATTAGATTGTGCTAAACTACCAAGCCTTCTTAATAGGAGATTACAAGACATAGTTATACCCATGTACAAGGTTAAATATAGGCTAGTTCCTGATTTTATTTGTGACATTTTCAGTACTAAGTCTTGTAAATATAACTTTAGAAACCAAAATTTTGATATTCCTAGATTAATTCTGTATTGTATGGTAAACACTCTCTTAGATATCTTGAACCCTTTTTATGGAACAAGCTAGATAAAAACATCACTGAAACGAGCAGCCTATCTAGGTTAAGGTTCATATTAGATGTAAGGATCTTACTGAACTGATAAATGGCAAGAATTGCTCCGCGTGCGTAATTTGTACCTCTTAAGTTGTACCCGTGTTCCTAAAATTGTTTTGATTATTTTAGCATATTGTAAATGTATATATAATATATATAGGATTATGCTATATCTTTTTTTATAGCTTTTTTTTATTTCTTATCTATTATTTTTCATATCATTCATTACTTATTTTATCTTTATGTTGTGTCCCCAATTAGCGTCAGCTAAATACATCGACACTTGAATAAAGTTTATCATTATCATCATCATCATCATCATCAAATTAGACAATAATTCCATGAATCTGATCCTAATCCTTGTACTATCAAGCAAAAGTGTGGGCGTAACTTTAACAGGCGTTCAAATCCGCTTTTCTCTCTTGAGACAATTATAAATCAATTAAACTTAAATCTGTATTGCACAGTAACATTCGTGTACCTATGCCCATTACTAAAGAACGAAACTAAATAATGTAACAAAAGAAATCCCTTACATATCGGTCCCGCTTGTACCAAAGGTTAAGAACGAACCAAAAACGATGTCACGACGCGAATCGAAGTTGACTTTTCTGACCAAAAAGACGCTTTTACATCCGCTTGGGGACGCCGAAATATCCCATTACAAAAACAATAGAAAATCAGGTAAACATTGTAATAGCCTGCGTGGCAAGCATTTGAAAGGGAAGGGAAAGGGAGTTTCTGGCGCGAGAGAAACGCGAGGGGCGCGCGAGGAGGGAGGGTAGGAAACGCCTGCAAGGAGACCATTGTCTTTCTCGTTTTTACAGGCGAAGGTTAAAATCCTGATTGGTCAGTCATCAAAACATGTCAATCACGGCCTTAATAACTTAATCCGATTGGGTGAAATCAACATCACGCTCCTGAGTATGAACTTAATCGATCTTTCAGCTGCTTTCAATAATCATTTAAAAATGTGTTGTTAGTGAGGCGTGATGAGATTTCTGTACGAAATTCATCGTTAATTAGAAACTGAAGGCATCAATTTCAGCTTGAAAGGAGAATAGAAGAAAGCAGTTATGAAGGAAAAGACCTGCCAGCAGATGCGTTTTACGGACTGGCTTTGAGAAGTCTCATCTCTTTACTCACTAGAAGAAAGAAAGAAAATATCGTGCTGCCTGTGTGCTTGTTATCTGCCGTTTGACCTTAAACGCTTACCACGCAGGCTATACTTTATCAACGACTAGTCATTGTTGAAGACGAACCGATCTATGATCCTCAGCAAATTTTTGTTTGAGGACTTCTTCTTGCTAGTAGACGTTATAAAGCCGCCAGGAACTTACATTAACAAGACGCTATGGGAGCGTGCACTTAGTGAATGCGGGGGCAATTAGTAAGAAATGATATTTTTCCGGACACCCTTCCTTACAAATACCTTTACTATTCTCCTTTTGAGTAACAGACGTCTTAACCTCTTCACCGCAAGCCTGCTAGGTGCATGACCACGTGGCTCTAACCGAATTCGATTATAATTTGTCTTTAATAAATTGCGCACGACGAGATCACAGGTTCACTTTCTTTATTTCCTCTACAACAACACTTTCCTTATGTACCGTTAACTCCACACCTTCTCCAGTAACGTAACTAACATCTCTTGCATCAGTACACTCCCTTATAAAGCTAATATGTGAATATGCACAATCTCCACACCGAGGATAATTCATGTAAAACATCGCAACATAAACTAGAAATGCGTACCTCGCAACAACCCTCGCGAAACTCGGTTTTTAGTAGCGCCACTCAAGTTAAGCCCTGTCGGGCCGGGTTAGGAACTGGATGGGTAGCCCACAGCGAATATCGTCGTGAAGATCTTTAATTTGTTCTCTCTTTTCTTCTTCTTTTTTGCCTATTGTATATTGAAAAGCATATTTAGCATTATTTCGGCCGCTGGATTTAAAAAAAAGAACAATCAAGGCAGTACAGTTCACGTAAAAATTATCATAAGCGTCGGGCCGTAGTACAGAACAGAAACTGAGCAATTTAAAGGTTATGAGCTGCGGTGTACCCGTGTTCGCCATTTTGAAGATGAAACGACCTTGACTGCCCAACCTTGTCCTGAAACTAGTGCATAATTTCATAGCTATTTTTCCCATTCCAAACTACCTGTGAACGCAGTGGCGCAATCGGCTAATCCCTCAACATAGAGTCTCCACTGATCTGACGGGCCGCACAGGTGAGTCGGTTCAAACCCCGGGCAAGCCATAATAACAATTCTTTCTTCCTCGAATAAGTTAAAGAATAAGTCAAATAAATCGAAGTGATCACAAGATATCTCAAACTAATTCCTCTCTCACTTCGTCAAATAGCCGAATAAAACCGAAAACCCACAGGCATTCCGTGGCCAATCTTGTGCCAAAAAAGCAACTTTGGGACATTCCTGAGCGTTTCGGATCCTTTACTTCGCGCTCCGCCGAAGTAATAATTGATTAAAGCCTTTTTGTTGATCTTTGAAGTTCAGCTCTTCGTTTTCCGCTACCGGCGTTCTTTACTATACTCCGCTAGATCCAATTTGAGAGACAGCAAAGTGTTTTTAATTTTTCACAGACAAACATTACATGCAAGTTGCGAAGTCCAGCACGATTCCTTCAGCAACGACGTAATAGATTTATGCTGGATGTTATGTAACAAGCCAGGCATCGTTCCATCAAATTTCTTCCTTCAACGGACGACCGCATTTGAACTTTTTTTATGGTACCTTCATTTAAAATTTATTGTTTTAGGAAAACAAAAGAAAAACAGTGCGAGTAGTACGACTAAAATAATTGCATCGTGGCCACACTTATTAGACAGCTAGTCATTCACAGTCGCGTTACTTTTGCATTCATAATTAGTAGGCGGAATGGCGAAAACAATGGTCTCCTTGCAGGCGTTTCCCTCCCTCCCTCCTCCTACGCCCCACGCTTTTCTCTCGCGCCCAAAACCCCCTTCTCCTTCCCTTTCACGCAGTCAAACATTGTAACTACGCTAGTAACTAGGATCTAAGCATGGAAATCACGAAAACAATGAAAGGTATTGTTCTTATGTCTTATCCTTTACACCTCCCCTGGGGCAGGAACGCTTGACGAAACCCTAAGAACGTCTGCGTGAGAGGCTACGTCCACAAGAATTCTATTCGAGTCTAAGATATTTGAATTTTTTTTACCAACTTTGCAACGCTTTTTTATTGAGTTTTTTCACATTTTATTTCCACAATATTTTGATTATTCTATTAAAAAAAGTCCCCTGAAAATTTTGGTATAAAGACAATTATATTCCAGAGAACTTTCCAATGAAAGTACTCCATGTCCTCGA